CTTATTTTTTTTGCAAAGTTTTTGTGTCATTTGTTAAGAGAAAAAAACAAACAAACAAATGAAACAATCTTATCTGCAAGGCACACATGTAATGCAAGCAATATTGAATTTCGAAAATATTAGTACAGTCTTTTGTCTTTCGTGTATTGGTAAGAAATTCGTTTATTTGGATGTACCATATGTTTCTGAAGATCATTACCATAAGTTACGAACTTTTTCTTTTCCCTGAGACAAGTGTTTGATGTATCAGTCATGATTTAGGCAACTATTGGTTATTAATAAAACTATGACATATTTTCCTTTAAGCGAATGCCATATCCAATATTGATACATGGGATTTTTTATAAATCTAACACCCTTTTTTTTCCAAAAGCATGTTGAATTTTGTATAACCTTGGGTCTATCAACACGTCTAAAGTTGTATAAATGTTGTTTTTGTGTATATTATTAATGTTTCAGGTAAAAAAAAACTAAATGTGTAGACCTCAGCATAAGAAAATTGGGGATCAATATAAGAACAAAAACTCTCCTGAACGTTTGAACCCAATCCAGAAGACAAAGCAACTCCTGGATCAAGTATTGGGAGCAAATTCGTGGAGGACTTTTTGTTGTAACTATCACGCATTTGCGTTACATGGAGAGGAAAATCAAGAAAGCCTCTCACAGTTAGGCTGACGACAAGCGGACTCTAACCCATGATTGATCTACTACTGAGAATATTTTACTTCAGCATTGTGGTCGGAGCGGAAGCCGGGTGTGGAATTTGTATCGACCAGCCATTGCTGAGACTCGAACCCGGCCACCTTATAGGAAAGCAAACGCTCTATCCCCTGAGCCACCACGGCTCAAAAGATTAAACGAAGATTATGACTTTTCTTTATTATTTTCTTCAAGAGCTCTTAGACTTATTTAGAGCTGTTTTTTAATTTTACTTCACCAAGGAAAATTAGAAAATCAAATGAATTTTAAGTGACACGAAAACACAAGAAATGCAGCTATAATTTTAAATTATCTATAATATTACTTATTCTTTATTTTGAGCTACTTTTTGGTTAGCATTGAAGGCGACTGTTTCGAATAACAGCAGCGAATAACAAACAGATATAAAAATATAAATTATGTGATGCATTAGTAATATTATAATAAGTAGTCTTAAACTATTCGTATCATAGCGTATCCCACATTGTGTTTTATTTGGCTTTCAAAAGCTTTTCAAAAGAGTATTATTATAATAAGTAGTCTTAAACTATTCGTATCATAGCGTATCCCACATTGTGTTTTATTTGGCTTTCAAAAGCTTTTTAAGGTTGTTGACTGTTAAATGTAAAATGCACTTGAAGCATTCTTTCCATCCGAAAACACTATAAGATTGCCAATTAATGTCTAAATCTTCTGAGATTTCCAAAATACCCTGATTTAGAAAAAAATTGCGTGAAATTATTATTATTTTCTTGTCAAAAATGTCACTTCTTTAACTAAGATTTTAAAATAATAACATCGATTTGCGAGTAAAAAGTTATAAGGGAAAGGCATACATGCTGTATGAAAAAAAGTGGGCGTGTTTTAAATATATAAATGTTCTAAATGTATGCAAACATATGCATGTTTTAAATATATGTAATCTTTAAAAAAGTTTAACTTACTATATTATAAGTAAACATATTTTTCAAAATATTAATTTAAAAATGTTCCATTCATTCTTTCGCTGATGATGGAACAACATACTAAAGCATGTCATTTAAATAATATTGGATGTAATTAATATAAGGCGATTGAATTTGATTTTATTATACGATTAAAATGTTAAATGCGTACGGCAAATGCGAACTAAAAATAGATTTTCAATTATTATTATTTTGGCTAATATTGCTTAGTTTAATAGTAGTGATATGAATTGTACCAAAAATTACACTCCAAACAGTTGAAAGCTGAATCAAAACTCATCAATTACTTATACTCGGTTTAATATTGTCTTATTTCATTGCATTGAATTTTATCAGAACTAAATTAGAAAAATTCATTCTATTATTTGCTAATTACACGTATAGAGGATTAAACTTGTTAATAAAGTGCATTAAGTGGCGTTACTATTAATTACGACAAAGATTTTCACTTTAATTAATTCAATATTAAATTTATCCTCAGGCAAGTAATTAAGCTTAGGAGATATTTGAGACCATTTTAATATCTAGATCTATTTTTAGAAGGATAGAGAAAAATTGTATCCTTTGTAAACAAGCTGTTAAGGTTCTATAAGCTTACATCATTATAGTATTTTCATTAATGTTACAAAACTTTATTTCAATTTTGTGAACCTTTACTCGTTTTTCGTCTCCAGAGAGTTTGAATTATTGATGGTATTTTTGTGTTGAATAAATAATAGTGAGTTTAAAATTTGTTTGAGTCAAACCGATTTCAAACAGTTTTCTGTTCTTGTTGTTTCATTCCCTTATCATAGTTCAAAGACTAATGTATAAACGTTTTCTAATAATACTTGAAAGAAATATTTGCTTTTTTTAAGTAAATAAATATCGCTTTCAAACTATTCAATTTTTTAGAATTTTATTTTTATTTAGAATTTTATTGCTTAATTTCTAGAATTCAATTTTCAAATAATCCAAAAATTGAATCATTGCAGTTTTTAAATAAATTAATGTTAAATTACTCGTAATTTAATAAACGAGTTTTCACGTGCTAAAACTCTATCTTATTGGTTCAAAGACCTCACTATAAATATGCTAATTAACTAATTTAGAAGATAATTTAATTTACGAAATCAGACAAGAATTTTATTTCTTCGCAATTAACAATGATTTTCCAGATATAAGCAGAATTTTGACCCTCAATATATATGATGTTGCCGTTATATTTGTATTGAATTTATTGAATTTATTATATTAATATTTATATTGAAATTTCTATAAATATAAAAACCTAATTCAAGAGAATCGAAAAAAAGTAACCCTTTTTTACCAGTTATAATGACATGAAGTTTTCATTAAGTACGTACCGTTAATGAGAAAATTATTTCTTCTTTTAATAAATCACATTCTGTAATCCTACTTTAAAGTTTTTTTCAAAAGCTTTCGATCATTTTTCAATTCTAGTTAATTGTTCCTTTGGTTACGTTTTACATATTAACAAAAGCGTCTTGCACAAAATTATAATTAAATATTTTTTAAACAAAATAAAATTTTTTTAATGGTGATATTAAAGAAAAAAATTAATGATTAATGAGAAGTGAAGAGTGAATTAAGCCTCCAATTTAAGTGAAAGTGTGTTAGTTAGAAATTTAGAGTGAGTCAAATTACTAAAACCAACGTCAAGAATTTAGGAGCACATTTTGGCGAGAATAAAAAATTTTATGAAAATAAGACGAAAAACAAGATTTCCTGATTTAATAACAGAACTAGGAAGTACTAGAAATAGTTGCATGTATATTAAGGGCTGTATGAAAAGTATAGAACTCTTATAGTTCACAATTGCATTAACTCTCATTTTTATATTCTTATTAGCAATTCTATTAGCTTAGATCAAGACCACGAGGTCAAGACCACCAAAGATCACCTTAGATCAAGACCACCAAATCGGTCAATTATTTATGCTTTTCATATTATTATGATACTTTCTTTAATTTGATCAGAAGCATATTTTGTTTAGATATTTTTTTTCTTAAAGAACCTAAGTTGTTATTGTGAAGTATTTTGGGTTCGATCCATCCAATCGATGGCTACCAGCTTGGAACAGGAGGCTCAATCTCAGATTCAAGTTGCTGAATGAAGTTGTAAGACCTTAACCTCCATAACCTTCCTCGCTCACAATAATCCAGTATGGCAATTCTTTACTTTTATTTTTTAACTTTTAACGTATTTTATTAAAAAAATTTAATTCTAGCCAAAGGAAATAATGATAATTGGGAAAGCCTTATACCTTTGCTAGCAACCTTGCCCATACAAAGTAAAAGCTTTTTTTATTATTATTAAGGACAATTTTAAGGTTTTTCAACATTTACTTTATTTTTCTTATGCTGGTTACTATACCACGCGAAAAATATCTGGTTTAATTAAAATAGTTATATCATTTCCGTAAAAAAAAAACAATAATTTTGGATAATAATGCAAAATATGCGAAATTCAAAAACAAGTCATTCGGTAACTTTTCTATTCATATAGTAACCGTTTACTAGAAATTCTGATTTTTAAAATTATAGCTTTTATTATGCATGCACAGTTAATAAAAAAATACAAATATGAAAATTATATGAATGAAAAGTATGTTTTTCTGATGTTACTTATTTTACCACATGGAGAAAAATTCTGATAAAACTACCGAACTGTATAATAATAAAATTTAGGGAAAAAAATAACAACATAATTTTTGGTTATAAAACCAAAATATACGGAATTTTAACCCTTAATTTAACAATTTTTTCTCACAAATCGTAACAGTTTACCGGAAATCTTAGTTTTCAAAATTACAGTTCATATTGACCTACATTTAATAAAAAAGACAAAATTGCGAAGTAAATTTAACTGAATAAATGGTTTTTACGCCATGCTCTAAAGTATTACAACAAAATTACCAAGTTTTACCATAATTACTAAACACCATACCATATTCTACAGTTAACTTTACCAAAATCATTACCTAAGCGTTCCCATTGAGCTAGAAGCAAAGTAAATTTTACCATATTTTGGTAGTTTTGACAATAGTTTTATCTTGAGTACATAAGCTAGATTTTACAGCCATTTTAAAAAAAATAAATATTTTCTTAAAGAATTTTTTATTTATTCTTGATAAAAAGGTAATTTTTGAAAGTAAGTAATTATCATATACAGCAGCACTTCCTACTATTATTATATGAACACTATTTTTTCGAAAACAAAAGTGTATATTCAGCAGGCACGTAAAAGAGGCGTACATAAAATATTTGATTGTGATTCACACATTTCGAACAGCTTGATGTACGTTTTATTTGAGAAAACAAATAAAAATCTTACCTCTACATGAAGGGAGAGTACCACTCCATTGCCCATTTGATTGGCAGTAGCGATGGGATCGTCCGATCAGCTCAAATCCCACATTGCAATAATAAGTAACTCGATTAGTGAAAGTAAATTGGCTACCTTCTCGGCGACCATTTTCTATATCTCCCGGTGGACCGCAACTCCTAGCTATTGAAAAACATTTTATTAAGTTGTTTTTATATATATTGTGAAAGAGAAAATCGTCAAAAAGTTAATATTTGCAAAAACATTATTCATTTTCAGAAAATAGGGTAAACCAACCAGTGAACGAACACTACCCAGTGAAGGAACATTTCATATATATTGATTAAAAATAAGAATTTGAAAGTTTTTCTTTAGATTGATTGGTAACAATAGCTTACTGCCAAACAATAGGAAGTCTTATAGCAATATTTTGGATTACCTGGTCAAATAGACTTCTCTGGAAAAATTTTTGAATTTGTTATTATCTCTGCAACACCTTGTTTCTTTGAAAAAATTATAAGGTGAGTGTTTGTATTTATATGTTTGAAGTGGAATTAATTGCATGTAATAGTTTTATTTTTCTCACTGTGAAAAAGAGAATTCAAAATATAGTTATTGAAGTTACGTTTTATTTTTTTTAAGCATCATAGCATAATAAAGTACTGAGATAAGGGGGTGTTTATTCACTGGATCACCAAACGATGAAAAACCAGTGAAGGAACAAGTGTTCCTTTACTGGTTTTTTTTCTAAGTTAATGAAAATAAAAGATAAACTTTAATTTTCTTGTACCTTTAGTGATGTTCCGCATCAAAAGTATGATAAAAATACGAAAAACAACTTCTAACCAGTGAGGGAACAGGCATGTCAATTTACTGGGCATAGATTTCCCAGTGAATGAACAGTATGTGTTAATATGGTTGACAATTTAATTTTCAATTCATGATTACTGAAAAAAAGTTAACATTTTCGAAGTATTTATATGTTATAATTTCAAGAATAGGCTTGCTTTTAAATATTTGTATGGCTTATAAATTCATAAAGAGCATTAAAAAATAACCAAAATTAAGTGTTCTTATACTGGGTGTTCATTCACTGGTAAGAGTTGTTCCTTCACTTGGTCTTCTTACTACTTGTTATTTGAACCTCCAAAACTTTGAAACAATATTATGTAAGTTCTCTACAATTTTTTTTTGCATAATTTGCAATTAGTAACAAATATGTTGACACTGTCATTTAACTAAAATTGCGAATTTTGAAATTAATATGATTTTTTAAAAGGCAAGCGAAGCTTAAGTGTTCCTTCACTGGTTAGTTTACCCTATATAGTTTTCAAAAAAATAAATTTAAAATTGTTCGTTCTTTAAACAGAATTGCATTCCTTTATAACGCAATAGCATTTCTTTGTCTTATAAAGGCATGATTCAGATTTTAGATTAAGGATATGAAGACTATATTTGAATAGAGATCTAGTTTCATTTATTGGGATAGTTAATATGGAAAACTCTTAAGATTTTAAGGTTCTTTATTTTAACGTGAACAGTGTTGAAAATATCTTAGTTATCAAACAAAGAGCCTTTATTTATTTGACAAAATCCTGAAACATAATACAGATCTAATTAGCGTCCAACTGTTAATTGAGCTCCTCTTAGTAAGTGGAGTAAGTGGAGTCCTCTTAGTGAGCTCCTTTTTACCAGCAGGCATGATATCAACATATGTTTTAGGTTAAAAGATTTTACTTGGAAACACTGTCGGTATGATGTGAAAGATCATGCTTGAAGCTTTTGAAAATGGTGTCCTTTATAACTATGCAAGATTTGCATCAACCAAAATGAGCGTAGGTAGTTAACGGCTGATTTCCTCTTTCAATACTATTACAGTAGAAAAATCATTCTTTTATCTTATTTTAATTCATTGGAACAATTTAAAAATTGCTGGTATTAAAGAAGTTATTAACATCCAATGCTCAGTTTGGTCGATCCGAACCAAATGAGATTCATGATGAGGTTGAGTCATGAGTAAAAACAGTTAAAAATATGGAGAAAACATAGAAAATAATAAAGATTAATGGAAAGAGAAGAAAAGAAGTCAATAAAATAAAATTTAAAAAAAAAATAAATGAAATGAAATTATTAATTAATTTTTAATAAATTAGTTAATTTAATAATTTTATTAAAATTAATTTCTTAATTTTTATTTAATTTTTTAAATAACTTTTTTCAATATATTTTTTAAAAATATTTTATTTTAATAATTTTTTCTTTTCTTTTCAATGTTTTTATTATTTTCCATGTTTTCCTACATCTTTCTAACTTATTTTATGAGTTACTTATTTTTTTTATTACTTATTTTATATATATTTAGATCAAGACCACCAAATC